GGAACCAGTCAGAGTCTGCTGCACACAAAGAGAGATGCTATTACAGGTCAAGAACCTCGAAGCTACCAGCAGTAAGCTATGCAGGAGGTGCTGTGAGGTAGCCTTGTTCCCAGACAACCCCAGGCTCTCCCACTAGCCTGTTTTGGCTGGACATTGGTACAGTTGAGGTCTCCTGCTTCTCTGATTGAGCCCTTTGGGGTTCTGCTGAACCAGGCAGGCTAGAAAGATGTAAAGCCCTCCTTTGACCCTGCTGGAAAACACCTTGCACTGGAGGACACCTCTTCTCACCACACATACCCACAGCACCAGCACCTTCCCTACTTGTCACAGTCACTGGAGAGAAGTGAGCTCTCCTTGTACCCAACAGGTTTTTGAGTCACCTCCTACAAGAAACACTTCCCCCCACTGACTGAGAAAGACTTTAGATGGGCAGATCCAATGGAGAGATGAATATTCTGGATGTATGTGCCCCCATTGTTACTCTGGGGATGTGCCCAAGGGAGATGGGGATGAGGCTGGTTGTTTTGAGTGGAGCAGTGAGTATTTCCACCCAGTGTCACCATGGCTTTCTTTCCAGGTGTTGTTATTTCTGTAATTTAAGTCCAGATTGGACAAGCAGAGCTTTTGTCACTTGCCATAATTTCCAGTATCCATGTGGTTCAGAGAAGAATTACCCAAAAATCTCTACCTGTGTCTGGGCCAGAAGGGAAACGAGCTGGCAGCTGGGTGTATGTATCTGCAGAACTTTGTGTCCACAGGTCTGGGCAGACACACAGTGATCTGGTGTCCCAGCTCCCTGACACGTGTAGTTGCTGCTGTAGCTGGCCAGCAGCTTTTCTAAACACAAGGAATAAACACCTGCAGGTCCTCCAGGGCTTAGAAGGTTTCCATGCAGAGCACCCATATTTTGTTCCTTCATTGCTGCAGCAAAGTTCAGCTGCAGGGAAAGGAGAACTCACACAATAACCTGGGGTGTAGCTGAGAAGGAGCTATTTCAGCTTGTGCTGCCCCATGGATAACAAATGTCAGATTGTGGTCATGCTGACCACTGTCAGAAATCCCAACCAAAGACATCAGGAAATGCCCCTTTCTGGGTAATATAAAGATGTAGGAAACATTATTTAATTTTCTTACATTGTTTGGAGGAGGGGATTCCCAACAAATGCGTTCTCTGGAATAGCTTTGATGTTGTTGTTATGAAAACCGCTGGTGGGAGAAAAAATATCTTGTTATTAATTACTTAAATTAACCTTCTTTCCTCAACACTTTTAAAGCCAGAGAGCCTTCAAAAAAAAACACACAAAGCAGAAGGTGTAGGCTCTGTCCCAGCTGTAGCATCATCCCAGCAGGTGAACAAGGTCTGTGGTTTGGCAGGACAAAGCCACATTTACTCTGCTTATAGCTGGGTGCTCCATATGTGACTCCACAGAACCCAGCAAGGATACCAAGACTTAGGGTTTAACACTTTACAGGTCAGGAAACAGGAGCAAACCAAGTACAAAATTTTCTACCCCCCAGGAATGCTAATTTTTATGGATGGTCTCCACTGCAGCTCCACAGCTGCCAACCAGAGTGCAGCAGGAATTATCAGCCCTGGTGACTTCAAAGGATTTGTAGCTCTAGCTGGGATATTTTTGGTTAAGCTGGAGAACATTGCTATCAGCAAACTTTTGCAGGGGAAGACAGCTCTGGGGGCACAGTGTGACCTCCTGTATACCAAAGGCAGCCACAGGTGTCTGTGTCAGGGGCTAAGACCAGGCTCTGGGTGATGCCCAGCTTGTTTAATAACACAGGAGTCTGAGTAGGTGAATAGTTGATGACTGTTTGAAATTCGCCTCTTCTTTAGTGGTGGCCATTTCAAAAGCTCTCTCAAAGTGGATTAGGGACCTTATCTCATTTTAAAGGTGAGAATAACGATGATATCTGGGCTGAACAGGGAAATCTTGTGAGAATTCTTCCAGTAAAGAAAAAAGTAGTGTCAGATTTTTACTCCAAGAGTCCCAGAAACATAACAGCAGCTGCTTTTGTCCCACCCCCGCCTGGCACCAGTGTGATGCAGGAGCTGTGGATCCACATCAACTTGACCCCACCTTGGGGCTTCTACCTTCATGTTTTGGAATGTTTTCTCGTTTTCAGTGTCTCCCAGGCTGACCAGTTAGAGGAGGGAGAGCCATCCACTAAAAAGGTCATAAACTTTTGTAATTCCCTGTTATAAATTCATCCTAAGGGAGTTAAAACAGTTTCTGCACATCAGAGAAGGTGATACAGGGCCTGCAGAAGATTTGCCCTCACAATAACACTGATAACTCCAGTTTGTGGTCCCAAGCTGGGGAATGGACATCAGAAGTAGCCAGAGAATAGATGGAATTTGAGTCCTCAGATGCCAGAGGAGAGCAAAGAGCTGCAGGAGGAACCTGCTCCAAGGATGACAGGGATCTCCCACTCTCCTCCACCAGTCATGGTGTGAAGGCTGATGGGGATGTGATCAGAGCTGATGGAAATCAAGGGGATAAACTGCTTTGATGTGCATGGTGGAGAGGGCTGTGAAGGAAAAGAAAAGCTTGGACTGAGTGCTGTCCTCAAGTCAGAGCACGCATGATGCTTTATTGGTCACCCTCCACTGGGGAATAGTTTTGAAAAGGAATAAATAGGAAATCTCACAGCTCCTGCAGTCGGCCCAGTGTCCTGATAGCCCCGGGGAATTCCAGCAGCTCATTGTAGTTTAGATCCCTGAAAGACACAGAAGGGAAAAACATTCATTGATGCTGCTGCAGGAACTCAACCGTGTGTGTCTGTGCTGTGAAGCCACGGAAACTTGGGCCTTAAGCATGAGAGACAGGTTTTTCCTACTGTGCTGATCCAGCCACTGCCTGGAAAAGCAATCTCACGTTCCTGCAGCAGGAATATTCTCTGCCTGTCAGGTAAAAGTCAGTCCAAGCCATGGCTGCTGCAGCTGGGACTCTTTTCCCCCACGTCCCCCCTATGCCCAGCATGGGGCAGTGCTGCTGCTTCATGTCTCCAAAGTGCCCTGTCCCCTTCTGCCAGGAGCTCACCCCCGGGGGCTTTGGCTCTGAGTAATTTTTCACGCCTTTCCAGGTCAAAGTGGGATTCTCTGAAGGACAAGAAACACAACAGCAACTTCAGCTGTGTGAGCCCCATAAAGGGCTTCTCTGGGCCCCCCCTCCCTGTGGTGCAGGGGGGATCAGGAGACTATTCCCTCCGTGTTTGTCCTGGGGACACGACTGGATCTCCCTGCCCCTGGGACATGCTGTGACTGGGAATAGTGGGAGGAGTGGGCTGTGGGAAGACAGGTCTCCTTCTGATGGTTGGGGTCAACCCCACATTGGAGTCTGTGAGCCAAAGCTGGAAGGGATGTGCAGGAGGTACTGACACTGTTGAGCATTAAGTCTTATTTGCCATATAGTAAAATTAGTAAAATATAATATATGACAAGTGTAGAGTTTACCTGCCCTGACCTGGCAACCAGAAGAGACATCTGAGTCTGAATGAAACCTCATGGGCTGTATTTGTTCTCCAAGAACGGGTTTCACCTCAGGAAAAGGATTTATTTGAGCTATGGGGCACTGCTGGCAACCTGAGAGCAGCCCTCTGAAGGCACCAATCCTGCTGATGGCCCATGGAGACTGACTGGGCTTTGGATGTGCAGCACTTCTCCTCTAGCATTCCCAGTGCTCTCCTTGGAAGGCAATTCCAGCTGTCACAGTAACATTTGACCCTGTCCTGGCCATCCCACTTACCAATTCCCTGAAGTCTGACTGCTCCCTACCTGCATCACCGAGTTTTAAGAGGTAGATACCTTGGAACATGAGAGTAATTACTGGCTCCTGGAGATTACTGTATAATAACACTTAATGAACCTCAAAGTAATTACCATGTAACCTGGATTGTGGTTTATGGAACAGAAATAACCGAGCATTTACACAGCAATGAGCTGCTGCCCAATTACCCTGTAATTCTCATCCCCTGGGCCCGGTCATTACGTTATGATCTCTCTCAGCCCCCTTCTCTCTTACATATTCTCTTACTACCAGTGCCCCTGCTTGGGAATGACTCTGGCACCACCCTGACTTTGCCCTGAAGGTGTTTACGCAGGAAATGAACCCGGAGAGTCTCTCCAAATTGGTTCTTGTTCTTCCAGGACTCCTCACTTGTATGACTTATGTCTTAGGGAATACTTATCAGGGAATTACAAGATAGGGCACCGAACCAGAAGAAAATTATGGAATGAGGCTGTCTTGGACGGATTTTGTCTTTTTGCTGGATTCCCTGTGAAGCTCAGGGGATGTGGTGGGTCCTGATCTGGCAGGGATTGTCCCCTGACACTGAGGGCAGTTTTCTCTCCTCCAGTTACGGAGGGATCCTGCTGCTGATACTATGAGTATGGATTTGAGCAAATGAATCCTGCTCCTGTAGGGCATGGAAAGGGTTTTCACATTGTCTAATAATTGGCAGTGCTGGCAATCAGTGGGGAAGGAGCATGGGGCTCGTGATGAGACCATGAGCTCTGCCTGCCCACTGTGTCCTGTCTGCCCTCTGCCCACTGTCCATCACTCTGTGATGTGGTGGTGGGGTCCCAGCACACGTGAGGCTGCTGTGCCTGTCCCCAGGACCCAGAAGTGGAACGGGAGTGATGTGTCCCCTCCTCTCACCAGCTCACATCTGTTAGATCTGAGAGCTCTGTCTCTCCCAGAGAGCTCACTCTGACACACTCGGTTCTCTCCTGGGTCCAAGCAGATCAGTGGTTTTCCTCAGTCTTCTCTGCTTGATCCCAAATGGGTCTGTTTCAGAATAAATAGCCCAAGACATGACTGCTCACAGCCTCACTCTTTGCTTGTTGCTCATTATCAGCTGCTTGGATGCTCTTGGCCCGTGTCTGTGGAGGCATCATGATTCCATCATGGCCTGGCTGAAGGCTCACATTGCACAGCCTCAGTTACCTGAGGGCAGGACTGTTAACAATGCACATCCTCTCTCTGCAGCTCAGGAAGGTACAGGAGTGGACTTCCAAAGAGAACAAGCAATGAGAAGTGCAAGCAGGGCACCACTGGGTATTTTCAAAGCATCAGTCAAATCCAGTTAACCTCCAGATCACTGCACTGGGTGAAATCAGAGGCATTAGCAGCCAAAGTTGACCCACAGCCTCAAATCTCTGCACATAAGGTGGGTAATACCTTTAACAGGCTCACCCTGCAGTGACTCCCTGAAGTTACAGGGAGGTTACACAGACAGCAGGAATCTGTAGAGGTCGTTCAAAGCTGGGTGTCTGCCTGCAGCACTTCCCTCCCTCGCACCACAAACGGGCTGGGATGAGCCTGTCTGATGCCAAGGGACAGTCCTTGGAAGGGAGGGGCTGTGAACCTCATCCCCAGGTGACACTCTGCCCACTGCTGCTGTGTCACCACTGCTGTGGGATGCTTTGTGTGATGGCATGAGGCTGAGTTTCTCCCCAGCGACACCTGATGTGTCTGAGCTGCTGACAGATGGAAGACATTGCCCAAGAGAGAGGAGGCTTGGCTCACCTGTGATTCACTAACAGAACAAGGGATCTTAGATCTGCAACCAGTATTACTTACAAGGAGTAATTCACTGTGCTGTAATATTTGCTCCTGTCTTTCTCTAAAAATGCATTTCCTTTCCAGCCTGCATCTGTTCCGGGCAGGCAGGTCTTTCATCAGCAGATGAAGGTTCTGTTTGTACCTCCGTGCGTGTGCAAGTACGTACAGGACCAGTCCTTCCTGAGCGAACACACACCGTTCCCAGCCCTGGCAGCATCCTGGGGCCTCCCTCCCTTCTGCACTTAGGTACAAAGAGCATTCATTGTGTTCAGCAGCTCCTGCTGGGTAAAGCCCATCTCGGAATGCTGGCAGGCACCGGGCTTGTTGGAAAGTGGAAATGCAACCAGGTGTAGCCGAGACGCTCCGGCCCGGCTGCCAGCAGAGACAATGTGCCCGTGCTCGCTCCTGCCGGTGCTTCCTCGGTTTTGAGGAGGTGAGCCTCCCTCCTGGAAAACAAACCCAGCTGTTCTGGGGAACAACTCCCCAAGAGGTGCTTGCAGCCATCTCCCCTGGGTCGTGTGCCACTCGCACCGCCTGGACTTGTCTCCAGCGCTGCCCCCTGCCCGGCTCTGCCCATTTCATGGGGTTCAGCTGGTTGGAGGAGGCTTCAAGAAGCCAGTGCCTGAGATGGTCCTCAGGTGTCATCCCTTCCCTGCAGTGGGGCCAGCCTTCCCAAAGCCCAGACCCAGACCAGGACACAAAGTTGGCTTCCCTTTCCCTTCTCCTTCTTTCCCAGAATCTGAGTCAGGCTCTGGTCCAAGAATGACCCAAACTCAGCATCCAACTCCCACTGTGGTGTCCCGGGGGAACAAGGGGGAGTTTCTGCTCCTTTAGTGAAATTCAGTTCTTGGGTCTTTCCACAGGTACCAGCAGGGCTCCATCCATCCTAGATGTGGCTCCTCTGCCTGCTCTCCCGTGGTGAATCTGGCCCAGCCTGTGTGGCCAGTGGTGGGTCTCCCGAGCCACCTCTAGAGCAACAAAATTTCCTCCACAGAGCACATCAGTGAACTGCCATTGTTCACAAACTCTTTCCAGGGGCTGCTGGATATAGGAAATGGACCTGCTGTAGCAAACACCTCCAAGGGTCCCCTTTCTCTCCCTGCCTTATCTGAGGTGCTTGGGCAATGCTTTGTTGCTCTCAGCTCCACACTCTGACTCTTTCCTGCTGCTTCCAGATTTGGGACGATGCTGGGAAAGCTGCAAAAAGCTACTGCACTGTCCCCACTGCGCTGCTGTGGCACATGGGCTGGGGTGCCCAGGGAGGCCTCTTGGCCCAGCCTGGCACTGCTGGGCTCTCAGCTGCCCCAGCTCTGGGGTCTGCCCCAAGGCTTTGTGTGCCACACAGGGGGTTCCCTGGCTGTGGGGTGCCGCCCTTTTTGACACAAGCAAATACAAGGGCAGCATTACCTGGTGGAAAGATGGCAATGCCATGGCCATGGCTATGCCAAACAATAGGGAAGCCTCATAACAAACAAACAGCAAAAATGAGCATGGCAAAAGGGAGTTCTCCCTGTTATCAAGGGCTTTTGAAAGCATAGTCATCCAGCCAAGAGGTTCAGAACTGATGTGCAAGAGCAATGACTACAAGTAATCACTGTCCTCAGTTGGGCTCAAAGTTACCACCTCTAGCACGAAAGTGGGATGTCAAGAGGAGCCTTGTCTGTTCTTCTAGTTGAAATGAAAACCTCTGAAAGGTCACCAAGTTTGCCCAAGACAGAATGAACTGGCTGGCTTTCCATTATTGTTATTGCTAGAGGGAGCCTATAGCTTCATATTTGGAAGATCTTAACCAACCCTGTTGTTTATTTAGAAATAAAAGCAAATTGACATCAAAGGCACAGTTATTTTGGGGTTTAATTGCCAGGGTGATTTGAAGCTGACAACATGCAGCCTGGAACTATTAATATCTTCAGTCGGGCCAAAAGGAGAGAAAGAGGGGAAAGAGTCTCAGGTCAATTTTCTGCCTGTTAGGGACTATTAGTGGTTCCACACAGGAAGCCAAAGGAAAAAAAAAACAAAATTATATAGTACTATAAATTCTTCCATAAGCCACAAAACACCACAAATTTGCAGCTAATAAACCTGAAGATGCAGTGAGATTAGGAACTGGAGATGGGACATTTACTGACTGTTTCAGTCCCAGTGGAGTTGGAGATGTTACCATGGTGCCTGGGGGGGACTCTGTGCAGCCTCTCCTGAGGACCTGCATTTCCACCTGTCCTGTGCTGCCATCTCATCAAGCTGCCAGTAAATGTAATTACAACTGCTGCTAGTCCTGCTGGTTACTGTGGCCAAATCAAGCACTAGGAATGATTTAATTGGTAGTCTGGAAGCCCAAGGGGGCTGCTGTGACCGTGTAGTTTGACCTCCTGCCCTGCACGGGCAGCTTTACCCAGAAGCCTTACATCCAGGTCATGGCTTGTGGCTGAGCTTGAGCTGGGAAGAGCTGTCAGATTAGTCCAGAATAGGAAAAGTGCACAATCAGGTGCCATATTTTATAGAATCACAGAACCATTAAGGTTGGAAAAGTCACTTCCCATTTACACAATGATCAGAGCAGACAATGAACTTCATAGCTCTGTTCTTGGACCAGGCACAGGGATCCATGCAACCAGGGCCCCGAGCTGTGGTCCCTGTTTCCCAAAAACCACCTGTCCCCTTCTTTTCTCCATCCCCTCAATCTAGATACCAAAGCCTCTCCTGAGGTCCCTCCCAGGGCAGTTTGGGATCTGATGAGGTGCCTGGGGACCCACGCTGACACTGCAGGGCTGGAGCATCAGGATGCTGAGGAAGTACCAGAGCAGCTCAGTGCAGCAAACAGGGAATCCTTGGGGAGTCAAACCCATCAGATGCTTTGGGAATTGCACAGACTGGGGTTAGCATCAGGAGACTGCACAAAAGGTTTCAAATTAAACATGCTGATGGAAAGTTGAGTGTTAGGTAGCACTTGACAGACAATTTTCCAGGCGAATAGCAAAGCCTGCCTGGCCCTATAAGGGTTAAACAACCCTTGTATGAGCTGTGCTGGAGATATTTCCCATTTCCTTCTTCCTGCCTTCATTGCCTGAGGTGTGCTTCATATTAATTTTCTTTCTTTTTTTTTTTTATCTTCTCTCTGAAAGAGAATCCAACTCTCTGGAGGAGTTGGTAGGTTCCAGCCCTGCTCTGCATTTACAGACTCGACTAATTACCCAGATAATGGGGTGAGTGCTGTGGTAAGGGCATTTCCTGTGAGGCAAGGTTAGGCAGATAAAATGCCTGGAGCCAGAGGGTTTTGAATTCAACCCTTCTGGGAGACGTTTTTAATTTATTAGCACTATTTTTAAAAAATAAATTAAAAGGTTTTTAAATGAATGGAGATTTGCTCTTTCCAAGTGATTTATCTCCATCTGATGGGCGGAGGAGCTGGCAGGGATGTGGATGGGGAGGGAGAAGCCAGGGAGGTAGGAAACAGTGGGGTCATCTCAGGTAGAGGGGATGGGTGAGGGCTGCGGGGCCTCTCTGAACTGGCTCCCCATCACATCCTTGTCAGAGATGGGCTGGAGATGCCCGAATAATAAGAGCAGCAGGACTCTTGGGGCACATCATTGCTGTTTTGGCTGTAGCCCAGAGGCCTTCAGCATTTTGAGGTGGTCCTGGGGAGCAGCCGTTCATTTCCTATCTCTGCCTCTGCCCTGGGACCCACCTTGGCCCTGCTGTGGGCTGGGGAGGCAGGACATTGCTGGGACACTGCTGGGACACGTCTTTGCTCCCTGCCAATGTCAGGGGCTTGTCTATCTGCTTGTGCTTTTGGTTCAGCCCATGCTCCAGGGGACTCTGCCCTGTCCATGCACAGAACCACCAGTAGGGCCATAGCTCTTACTTCTGCGTTTTTCCCCTTTGTCTCAGCACCTCCAAATTGAGCCCTGAGCAGGTGTTGGGGGATACAAGGTGGCTTTTGTGATGGGGGAGCCTTCAAGTCCCCACACCAGGTGCTGCTCAGCACTGCCAGCCCACTTGAGCCATGTGAGGGCACAGACCTGCCAGAGCCACTGCTCTTGCCCACCCACTTCATCTGAGAGGCCCCAGGGAGTGGCCTCCACAGGCTTCCTCGCTCTGTCTATGTGGCAACCAGCCCTCAGGGCCACAACACCTCTTCCCGATTGGACAAAACAGTCCTGATGGGAGAAAAAAATGCTTTCTCCTTTTCCTCAAAGCACAGATCCCATCCCAGGGGCATTTTCAGTGAGTCACTTCCACCACTGTTTTGGCAGAAGGCATAGGAAGATCCATGAGGAACCTCTCTCCCCCTCTTTTCAGCTGCACTCTCTGCTTGCTGTCTGAGGTCTGCTCTCCTCTGCCATGGGGGCTGAGGGCTCCCTAACAGCAGGCAAGGTGGAAATGCTAAATGATGGTTTGTGTATGAGGTGTTTGGAGCTAGAACTTGGGGGCCAGCTCTGAAATTCAGTTTCCATGATTAGATGCCCTCCCCAAGGCTATCTGTGAGGCACTATACAGGTGTGTCCCCCCCCATACTTATATATGTGTTTGGTTGCATAGTTTCAGGTCACCTACCACTTCCATCCCTTCACACTGCATAGGGCAGTGACTTGGAGCTTAGTTGTGTGGAGGAACTTCCTGCATTCCCCACCCCCTCCAGCCCTGATCCATGGCACATTCATATTTCAGGGACGCAGAAGGATAAATTCAGTGCTATCACAATCTACCTAATGAGGCCAAAGTCAAGCACCACAAGGCATGAGGCAACTATTCATCAGACTGTAGATTGCATTCAGACTGACTGCAAAGTTCAGGGACTTTAGGACACTGCTCAGCTTTCCAGGTGAAGGTGGCAAGGAGGAAACCTGGGCACAAGACCAGCCTCAATGTGGAAATTCATTCATGTCACAGGGACCACCCCATTAGAAATACTTTCCTTATACAGCAGTGGAGAACTTGGCTCCTGTGTTAGCAGACCTCTGGATGGCAATTTTCCCTTGCTGTTCCTCTGAAAACACAGCCATGTCCTCCCTAGCACTGTGCCCCCAGCCCTGAGCACAAGGTCTGAGTGTTGCCTGTCATTGCAGAGATGCTCCTGGCTGCAGCTGACTGCTCTTTACATCAGCTTTTCCATAAGCATTCCTACTCACCAGGCTTGTGGCACACAACAAGTTTAATCATAGAATGGTTCGGGTTTGAAGGGACCTCATCATTTTATTTCAAGCACTCATCATGGGAAGGGACACCTTCCATTGGAAGGTGCCTCATTCCCCTACCCTTCTTCCTGCATTGTTAAAGACTGAGAAATC